GGGTACCCGTAGGGATGTCCCCTTGAAACCCCCAGCTAATCCCCTTGCCTTTGCTGGAGAAAGAGGCAGGCACAGGGATGGATGTGTGCTCCCTCCTCCTGAGCCATACCCCATGGCTAGGCGAGGGGGGCACGACTCTCTCCTCTCTGTGTGGTTTTTTGGGGGGTAATTATTCTCACTGCATCCCATCAAGCTGGCAATGGATGCAGGGAGACTTTCCTCCTGGCTAGCCAAAAAGATGGGGTCGGTTATGCCAGTGCTGGCCCCACACCAGCCCCTTTTCAGCCAGGGATGGGTTGGCTGTGCCCTGCAGAGCATCTGCTTGGAAGGACAGGAGCCCCTCGGCAAGGGACGTGGAGCTGGGGGGGTTAGGAGCTTCGCCTGGGAACAGCTGTCCTTCCCCCCCCCCAGCCCTGCCGTGGGAGGCAAGATGGCAGGGTGGCACGGCAGGGCTCCCCGGCAGCTGGCACTGCCAGAGCAAGCACTCACTTGAGCAGGCGCATGCCAGCCGTGGCACCCAAGTAGAGCGGGGTGCCCGCGTGCTTCTCCTTGGGCACGTCTCTCAGGGCCTGGTTCAGGCAGGGCACCAAGCTGGTCCCGGCAGCTGGAGGGTTGGAGCTGTAGCTGGAGATACCAGGACCTGCAGAGAGAAAAGAGCATTGCTCCCTGCAGGCAGTGGGGAGGTGCTCGGTGGGCAGATGCTTGGTGGGCAGCTTTGTCCCTCCCAGGCTGTTCAAAAGGCAGGTGCTGCAGGTTTCTGTGGGCACGGAGCCATCCAGAGCCCAGCCACATCTCCCTGCCCACCCTGCTGACTGCCAGGGAAAGGTTGCTTAAACAGAGAGTGGAAACCCATCCCTTGCTCCGCGCCAGGCTAGGCGGGAGCTGAATTGTTTCCTGGCAGCTCAATGCATGCCAGGAAAAAAACCCCACAGGCATGCACGGCTGGGAGCCTTGGGAGGAGATGGGGGAGGTTTTGGGAACAGAGCTGGACCCCTTATAACACCTCACTGCGCTGGTCCAGCCACCGGCCCCCGGGGACTGGCACAGCCCTTACCCTCCACGTCGCACATGCTGTGCTCGCTGACCACCCCGGTGTCGTTCTCCTTGTCTGCTGGCCACTTGTAGACAAACATGGCTGTGTGGGAGGACCCGGCGTCCAGCACGATGCCATACTGCAGGGGGGAGGCATCGGGTCAGGCCGGAGGCAGGAGACCCCCCAGCTGCCCGGCCCCCGGGGACTGGCACAGCCCTTACCCTCCACGTCGCACATGCTGTGCTCGCTGACCACCCCGGTGTCGTTCTCCTTGTCTGCTGGCCACTTGTAGACAAACATGGCTGTGTGGGAGGACCCGGCGTCCAGCACGATGCCATACTGCAGGGGGGAGGCATCGGGTCAGGCCGGAGGCAGGAGACCCCCCAGCTGCCCCAGGCCATCCCAAGGGAAGGCACTGGGGCTCAACAACCCGCCGTGCCCGGCCAGTCCTTGGCAGTGCCCTGCCTGGCAGCTTCGGGAGCATCATCCAGCAGAGGCCCCAGCATGGTCACAGTCTTTCCCACATCTGCTGGCACAGGGCCCTGCCCAGGCTGCGACTGGGAGTGAGGGCTCTCCCCAGCCCCAGGACACTGCTTGGCCCGGCACAGGGACTCCAGCTTTTTGGGCACGGGGACCCCTTTGCCCCCTTGAGCACAGACCAGGAGGGTCTCTGCCCACAACCCTCCCTTGCTCCCATCTCCTCGCAGCATCACTCCCAGCCAGCGGGCATCTGTGCTGAGCCGTGGCGGGGGGGTCCCTGGGGCCAGCGGGGAGGGGACACCTGGGAGCGATCCTTCGGGATGCAGCTCGCCAAAGAAGGGCAGCCAGGCAC